TGTTGTTGCTGTTGTTGCTGTTGTTGTTATTGTTGTTGTTGGAATTAATTCATATATATCAGGTTTTTGTAATAGCTTCTGCAAAATTTTAGAAATATAAATTATTAGATTTCAATTATTAATTTACAAATATATCGAATTTGTGAAACTTTAAATTGAAGTAAACAATGTTAAAAATATTCGAAACTATGTAACATTGCTATTTAAATTCCTTTAAAGGTTAAAGTATAAAAATAAAAAGTATGATATTTGCAGTGATGGGTCTAATGATCGAGAATTTTAAAAAAGCTGGAAAAATACTTACTCTATACAGAAGTCAGAAGAGAAGAAAAGCATTTAAAAATGATTTGTTAGTTAAAATTTTGATATTTGATTTGAAGTGACGCATTAATGATGATCTGATGATATCATATTCTAAACTAACTTCCTGTTGATTTTCTTGCATGTTGTAATCTGCTGCAATCATTGGAACAGATAATTGCTCAGATGATAACTCAGTTGCCATCGCAACAGCTAACTGATTAGATGATAATTCAGTTGTCATCATTGGTTGTTGTCTTTCATCCAATGTATTCTGAATGGGAATATTAGGAAATGTTGATGTTACTGTGTCAGTTATTTGTCGATTTTGTTCTTGCAACATTCCGGTACCACTCTTTTGTAGTTCATCCTTGTAAATTTTCACAAAATCACCATCGTTCTCAATTGATGCACGAATATTCTGATCATTAGTCGGCTTGTAAAGAAATTCTTGAACTCGTTCGACAAAAAATTCCTAAATGTAAAATATAAATTCTAATTTTTATCATATATGTATATATTAATTATTAATGTCATTTTGTTTATATGAAATTTCATAAAAATTAATCAAATTTTATGAAATATAAAATGATGTCTACGGAAATTAATTATTAATTTTATAACTTAAAATAGAGTTTAAATGTTAGAATAAGATTGAAAAATGTTAATACCTGAGTTAAGGCTTATAAATTAGTTGGCAATTTTGCTACATTCATAATTAATTCAAATAATTTCAAATTTTTGATCAAATAAGTATTTTTTGATAAAATTGCAATTTTGCTTAATTTATTCCCCTCAGAAAAAAAATATTTTGCAAATGTCTGTATTGCAAAGTCTCAGGCAAGGTTTCAATCACCTTGTACCAGAAAATGTCCAAGAGTTACCGATTGAGCGGGAGCCTCCCAATCATTCGTGCTGCTAACACTCCTGCAATTTTTCAATTTCAAAATTTTTTAAAGCTAATAGTGCTCATTGCTAGTCAGGAAGAAAAATTACTCGCAAATTTTGAAATGATAAAAACTAATTAGAAAAAAAAGAAAATTAACCCATTTTCTCGTTCGTTGCCTATTATAATAGTATTTGCTGCATCCTGCAATTATGCATGCCATTCAAACAAACTAAGCTAATAAAAATTGAATAGAAAAAAAAAGTGATAAAAGGAAATTGCCTAGTAGTTTTTGTTAGCATGAAAAATGAGCGACCTGAATGCTTGCAATAACATCCTCCGTGTAAGGTGCCGAATGAATTGCAGCTGGAACGGTAAATTTGTTTGATGGCATCGTTGAAGGTGCTTGATCGATTAACCTGAAGAAGTACTGCTCTTGGATCAAATGATAACCTTTCACTTCATTTCCCAATTTTCTCCTCAATTCTTTCTTATCCCTTTGTCAAACTTTCACTCACTTTAGAGTTAAGTTTAATTTCTTTTTTTTTTTCTAAGAAAAATGAAAAGTTAACATTTTGGAATCATTTACTGAATTTTTGTTTTTCTTTCAGTTTTATAAAATTCCGCGTAATTCATTATTCACGGCATTTTTTTGTTTGATTATTTTCTAGAATATATTATTTCCTAATACTAGAAAATAATTTCGTGGAAAAAAAAATTAGCCTTTGAATCTGTTGAAATTGCTCTGTTTCGGCGCTATTTGTTTCCAATGATATTCGATCAGCAGGTAAAAAACAATTAATAAGTTGCGATTCCGTTTCAATTTCAGATATCGTCCCGGATGCATCTATTACATGCTCAATTAAATCCTGTAATCGTAATTCCTCCATTCGTGCCACTTTCCGTTGCCATTCCTCCAACGCTTCCGTTTCCTCCCTCAAATAATATAAAATAAACTTTTGAAAACATTTTAATGGTAAAAAAAAATTCAATCTATACTGTTATATCGTATTATTATTAATTTATGATTTTTTCCTTTTTTTGTTTGTAAAGCAAACTTGCTGAAATTTGTTTCCATTTGCTGCAATTTTTCCAATCTTTTCTTTACCATTTCCAATTCATCCGCTTTTTCTTTGCTTTCATCCTACAATATCAATAATTGAGAATGCTAAAAAGGTGATAATGAAACAAATTGAGTATGTATTTTGAAGTTTAAAAAATGAAAAAATTTTTTTTTTTTTTTTGTAGCAAATTATTGATGATTTACCTTAGAGGGAAGATTTTCCGCTTCATACAATTTATCATGTTGTTTTCGAGCTTTAAGAAACCAGAAAAAGAGAATTGTAAAGATGATAGAGGTAAGAGAAAGGAACATTCTGGTGGTAAAACCAAACAGCATGAATTGATCAGAATCTGAACATTCTTCCCATTCATCGGGATCATAACCTAACTCCTTCGAAAATACCATTTCGGCCGTGCTATATTATCAATCAATCAATCAATCAATCATTTTGCAAATGCATTTCAGAAAATACTATCAAACAAAAAAAAAAAAAGAAAGAAAACGAACACGTTATTTCATTTCTAAATCATACTAACCAATAAGTTTTCAAATTTAAATACAAAAAAAATTGTTTCTCAATTTTAACACTGAAATAATGAGAATAAAATTTAAATTAATGCAAAAAGAATTGGAAAAAATTGGAAATACTATTTGTAAGTATAATTTAATATTACATTAGAAATAAAATACACAATTTTTGCCATATAACAGTTGATTAATTTGAATAATTTTCAGCTAATAATTAAATTTGTCCCAATTAATCTTACTCCTTGTGAACAGTATTTTTCATCATTTAAACAAGTTTACACAGTACTTTACACAGTGATATAGATTGAATAAGAAAAAAGCAAATAAATGAGTCAAGTATAAAATATATATATTTTTCCCATCTATTTGATAAATCTCGGGATCAAAAATGTCTTCCGTATACACCCGTTGTTGTCATTAAAATATCTCTCCAACGATATGGGAAAATAGCAGCTGTTGCTAATAGGATAAAATTATAGATGAAAGAAGTTTATGCGAATGTATGTGTGTGTGTGTGTGTGTGTGTTTGTGTGTGTTTGTGTGTGTGTGTGTGTGTGTTTGTGTAAACTAAAGTTCTACTTTCAGGATTTGATTGTGAAAGAAAAATTAGAACATGTCTGCTTCATTCTCACAACTTTAACTCTGAGCTAAAAGTGTTACGTCTTAAACGCACCTGTGTCACTACAAGTTGCTTCGCTTTACCTCATATAAACACAGCTGCCCCTACAAAAAAAAAAAAAAAATGATTTTAAATCTCCACTTCCACTTTTTTTTCTTTCTGATCCAATTCATTCAAAGTCCAAAAACTACTACCAAGAAATATCCATGATGCATATATCCAAAAAATGTCATTCAACTAAATTTCTATTGGTCCAATTTTATGATCGAAAAATCATCGAATGGGATATTTTTGAATGCAATTGATGATAAAATTTCTTGAGAATTAATAACCGAAAGATCAGCAATACAGAAACCAACTTAGAAAATGATGATCACCTCCATTAAAAGTGTGCTCCAAATTCACATCATTTCTTTTCATTTGTTTAAAATTTGTTAAAGTTGAAATTTGAAACGAAAAATCCACAGCAAAATTTATTTATAAAAACAGTAAAGTGCATACAGCAAAGATATTTTACATTTATTTACATTTGAACTAAAATTTTTTACAAAAATTAATATATTCATATCATTTACAAGCAATTAATGAATAACAGATTCAAAGAAGCTCACCAGAAAATTTATAAAGAACAAAATAATAAATCTCTAAAGCAGGATAAAAGAAAGGAAAAAAAAGAGTTTTCAACGGAAAAAATCTTTACCAAAGTGGTGATAATCCTGCAAGATCATCACCGGTATAATGTCCTTATTTGAATCATCCAGACAGGAAAATGTGATAAAATGATGACACAATTAGTTTTCAGAAAATGCATAAACTCAAATAAAGATTTTAGAAGTATAACTTAAGCTTTACATGATAAGGGAAAATTGATAATGGTAAGAATGAATAATCCGGCAAATGATGAGAATTAAAATTAACCTTATAAAACATAAACATTCACAACCAGTAACAAATTGGTACTAAGCCAACGAATTAGAGAAACAAAAATTGTTAAAAGCAAACTCTATGATCAATCATTCATACCCGATAGGTGAATGGAAAGCATGTAAAATACTAGAAAATAGATCGAAAGAAATGACAAATGATAAAATCTGTTACTACTTTCTCTTTTATGATTTTGGTAATGCCGACAATTTCATCAAACTGTTCCTTCGATAATTGATAGTGCCAACAATAAAGATGCTACAGTGTTTGCCTGAAGTCTTCAGGAGTTCCGAAAAATTCAAGTAAGATGAGAAGATAATATCATATTTCAGTCGACTAGGATTGGGAAGTTCAATTACTGACAATTTAAATATGTGATTTAAACCAAAAAACTTCGATGACTAATATAAAGACTATTTCTAAGATATACAGTTACAGCCAACATGAAAATGCTCAATTTTATAGTGCGCTCAAAGAGTTAAATAATTTGCGAGAAAAAAGCCACATTTAGGAATCGTTCAGCTTGTTCATATTTTAAGATAAAACAAAAAAAATATAGGATAAGAAATCCAAAATGGGAACGTTATCAGGAAGTAATTGTATCACAGCAATATTAGAAAATACTCTTTCCAATATTCTCCAAAAAGCTATAATCCAACCAGGTAATAATGCTCACCGGAGATTGAATTTTAGCAGAAAATCCTTTACATACAGATACAGATAACATATATAATATTATATAAAGACAAGATCAAAAAGTTCGTTAACTGAGCATAAAATATCACTTTGCAGCAAGCTCCTAGCTGCTGTCAGCATGTCATATTTTCGCACCATTTTATAGAACAGAAAAAGAAAAAAAAAAGTAAACAAAAGTTGAGATTTTTAAAAAACTAAAAAAAAAACTGCATCATAAGTGAAGCTACAAAAAAAAAAACACTTATAAAGGCGGCAAACTGTGATGTATACCAGATGTAGCAGGACAACAAGCTAATGCCTCTAAACCTTGAAGTGTATGTGCAGCAAATGATGAAAGCATGGCCGAGTCAACAGGCTCCATACACGATGGACAGCTAAAAGAGCGCATCAACCAGTCATCCACGCAATTCTTATGATAACAGTGCATACAAGGCAAGTAACGAATTGGATCGCCATCAATAAAATCTACCATACAAATTGGACACCTGAAAAAAAAAAAGACACGATTAACACGTCATAATATTTCTTCTAAAAATATATTACTGTTATTAACTAAAAAAAAAAAAAAAAACTAAGCATATGTAGCCTAATGTACCCTATTATTATTATTACACTTTTTAATAACATAAATTATATTACATCTTGCTAGAAGATTGAAAAAATTTTCTAGTAACATATGAAATATACTAAAAAAGTGAAGTAATCTAACATTAAAATCATTCTTTATTAAATGAATTTTTGACAATGAATTTTTAGAACAATGCAACACAATTCTTTTATAAAAAAATTTTTTTCTACGAAACAAGCAAAAATAATCTAAAGTTGTGAGACTTACTTCATATGACAACTTTACATTAAAACAGCCTATTTCATCATTGTATTTACAGTAAACGAATTTAAACCTAAAACATTACTACAAATACAGTCAGATGTTTTACTCAACAGAAAGAATACACGGAAAATATATTTACTCAATATCTTTCATTTTCCCTTCCTTCTTATACGTATCAGCAGGAATCTGTTCTAATAGGGCTGATATATGCGCCTTCTTAGGATCTTCCATCAACAATTCTTGTCGTCCTCTTTCATTATTTGCTTCTGAGATCCAAAGTTCATTTATGTATGCACTTGGTAACTAGAAAGAAAAAAAAAAAGAATGGAATAATATCACA